TAACTAGAACTTCTATAGAGCAACCAAAACAACTTCTTTCGTATGTTCCATTAACAGTTATGAAGATATCCTTTCCACCATACAAATGCAGCACAAGAATATCATATAACTTATCAGTGCCTGCATTCATTTTACATGCAGAAGTTTTATTAATAAGTACTTTTAGTTGAATTTCACATGACTCATCTGCACAAATACATTTCTTATATGGTTCAACAATAAGCCAGTCCTTGCAGAAGCTGGTTTCATCCAATTTTTTTATAAATTCAAACTCAACTGGTAACTTACCAGTGTTCTTTATAGTAATTGTACGTACTTGTAGCTCCAAGTACCTGACTGTACCAAAATCAATTTCGGTTATATCTACTTTAACTTGTGGTATTAGTTCATTCTCTAATTTATCAAGCTGTTTGATGACCTCTTCATACACTTTTCTATATTTTTCTTCATCCACTATTTTAATTGCTGAAGTAAATAATGCTGATACAGGTTTATGGTCACTGATATTCAGTGCTGGGTGACTTCGATAGGCTAACTGAGTGATATTATCGCCTCTCCAAAATATTCTATCACACCAAGCTGGGGCACGATTCTTCTCACTTGAGTCCCAATTATCTGTACCTGGATCATATTTGTAGGTAGGCTTAAATGTAATAGTACCCTCAGTGTAACCAGCAAACACATTATTGATCTTGTGCTGTTGTTTCAACTGGTCCCACTCTAGCACTGGAGCAAAATTATTCTCATTTACCATTTTCTTAACACTCATTGGATCCAATTCTGTTATCCTATAGTTAAGATCTCCTAACCAGTAAACTTGGTCATGATCTTTGATTGCCTTTGGTGTTTGATTTGGTTGTAAAAATCTAGTGCGGTTGCAGATATCACGAAAATCCTGATTTCTTCTCTCATATTCTTCTACATGAGCAGCTAAGTGTGAGTTAACAAAACATATTGATGTGTTATGAAGATCAAACCTGATGGAAACACCACCTTTGTTACCCATTTTTCCCATTATTCCTGTTCCTACTGTATCACATACAATATTTCGCACATGTGACATGTGTTTCTCCTTGACTAATATTATGAGCATCATACCTACAAGTCTTACAATCTCCACTTTGGCATATTTAGCTCTTGGGTCAACATTACTTCGAACTGCATTGTACCATTCATCTTCCCGAAAAGTCTGATCAAAAAGGAATGTTTCTTTAGATAGATCCAGTTCCTGAAAACCTATAGCATATATATCCGGAGGTTCCTTGTCTACACACAGCCATCCCTTTAAGGGTATGACTGGAGATTTATCATTAACATTCCAAGTGCCACAGAAAATTGTGAATCTTTTTGTATAAGTATAGTCAAATTCTTTGTCACTCATTTTTCTTTTGATAAGACTTTCTCGTATGGCTACTGGTGCTGAAATTTGAGTATGTGTGACGCCACTCCTAGGTAAGACCATGGTTTGTGCTATAATATCATCTTCTCTTTGGCCATTGTATTTTTTGAGCCAAACAAACTGTGGTTGTGAGGGAAGTTTGTTGACAGCTTCGATACCACGGAACAAATCATCGACGAAATTATCGACCCGTGGTGTCATTTGAATTTCAAACTTAAACTTATCATTACGTGACTGGAGATTCAGGTACAAAATTGCTTCGGGGTCTGACGGTTTATTATCAATTTCACATTTAAAACTATTATCTATGGGCAAAACTATTTCTATTGATAAATCCGTAAAGGACTTGGCGTGGGTAACAAGAAGTGAATAAACAAAAAACAGCTTTTTCGTCTCCATATTCAACGATTGCCAGAAGTCTGTCTTTTTTTACGCAATCGGAATGTAGCACTTTTGCATCGTATAGAAAAGCTGTAACCCGTTCGCTTGACAAAAACTTTTCTTGAACCACCGATAGAACCTCCTCGTGATTCATTTTGTTTCCTTAACTTAATTATTGAATGCAAATCTTTTGACATCGTTCCATCATCGGCTAATACGTTTAAGTTTATATGAAGATGTATGTATTGTACAACTACAAAAGTCAAGTGACATTTGCAAAAAATAACAAAGGTCGTAGTCTTTATGCCTGTGCCAGGTTTGAATATTACATATTCTTTGTTTACAAAATGATGCACAGATACAATCACCTTCCTTTATACCTTGGAACGATATATTTTGAATAATTACGATTAGCTCTGTTTCGTGTTTAGTGTCTCTTTGATGATATCGTGGCGCATTTGCCAAGTTATTTATTGGCTTGACCCACAGATAGTTTTACTCATGCTCGCATCTGGGTGTTTGTCGTCGTGCAATTTATGTTATTAAAAAGTCCTTACAACACAGGATAAAGGTATCGTAAAGTGAGGGCAATGTATTTAAAAAAAATTAATGACGGCAGGCGCAGCGTAGGAAGGCCTCCCACAAGATGGACAGACGACCTAGTAAAGATCGCAGGGACGCGTTAGATGCAAACCGTTACCGGCCGGTCAAAGTTGAAGTCAATGAGGGAGACCTATGTTCAGCAGTTGCTGGTATGATGATGATGATAAATGATTTACAAACATCAAACATAACATCGCCCTAAACTATTTCCTTGATTCAGTAGTCATACCACTAAGTTTTGATAACGTGGTTTATCCTTACTAATCCTTACTTCCTTACTAATATTATAAAGGCGAAAGTTTGTATGTATGGATGGATGTTTCTTACGCTTTCACACAAATACTACTGAATGGATTTTAATGAAACTTTACTACTTTTAATGAAGCTACATTATTAGCTTATAAATCAGAATAAGACATAGGCCATAATTTATTTACATATTTTTATGTATATCTGTCTACGCCTTCAGCCTATTCTACGCAGACGTCGTCGCGGGCAGATTTCGATTTCTAATATCAGATTTCAAACTATGTATTTTAATATCTAAATATTTTACGTTCACGTATTACACCTTAAATTCATAACAAAAAAAATGTTAACACTCCAGAACACGCAATCATTAGTGAAAATATTTTTATATTTAGTGTAAGAAATAATACATTCAATCTTATAGTTTAGAGCGGAAGAATTTAAAATATACACAAGACACTTAAGCCTTGGCCTGACGTCCACCAAACCAGCAGAGCACTATTAAATTATATTTTTCTTTTTCTTTTTGTGTACTTTAATTTTTTTTTTTTTCAGAAATGTGAATGAAATTTACCTCCTAAAAATTTCCATTGTCTATTTTTCTTCCTTAATTTAGGAATAAAATTCCTAAGTTGGCATCCCTTACTATTACGTGCCTAAGTACCAATACACTCCAGCTCAAGGCTAAACAAAATTAAAAGACATCGTTAATACCATGATTCGTATTTAAATTAAACAGAGTTTTTTTCCATGATGTTAAGATTCAAAATTACTTAACTCATTCATAAAATCTGATTAAAAATCTGATATTGTTGCCGTACTGGTCTAACTAATGAAAAATTTGTATCTCACGCGCTTTGTCTCTCGAAATCTGTTTAAAAGTCTGATATTGTATTGTATTGCCGTACCGCTCTAACTAGTGAATATTTTTATCTCACGCGCTTTGTCTAAAAATCTTATATTGTGGAATACGCGTATGATTTAATCTTGTAAATATTAGATCAATAAAGTTTATAAATACTTTTTTATCAATTAATATTACGATTAACGCGTATGATATTGCGATTTGTGTTGGTATAGCGAGTGAGCGAGTATTCGGTACATCAGATTTCGGAAATATCAGTTATTGTAAAATAAATAAATTTTGAATGAGCCAGTAAGCGATTTTCGGATATTGTACCAGTATATAGTTTTCATATCTGTATACGATTTGTATCGCCCACATAAATCAGCTAGTATAACTATATTAAAAAGTGCACCTTACTGACATAACTTATCAGTTTGAAGTAAACAAATGTTGGACCTTATGGACCAAAATGGTGGTTTACACCTATGCTCGGTCGCTGTTTAAGGTCAATAAGATAGAGTGACTACATACATACGTATGTATGTACTAGAGGAAGTACATAACTACGTATATGTGTTCTTCCTTTAACTATCTATACACACAACTTTGCAAACAAGCATTAGTATGCCGCGTATTCAGTGCCGGATTCAGGGGAGAGCAAATGCCCCGGGTCCTCCACAAACGAGTGCCCCCACACTAGAGACTTCGGAAAAAAAGTTCTTATTCAGACTAATAAACAATAGTAAACAACTTTTCCTTTCATATTTTTTTTCGCGTTTTACTTTTACCTGTAGTACTTTGTACAAACATGATTACATCAAATATTAACAGAAATCAATAGAAAATAATTAGGGCCTCCACTCCATTGTTGACCCGAGGCCTTCAGACCCCTAAATCTGGCCCTGCGCGTGTTGTTTTACGAGAATGAGAGTTATATCACTGATACCACAAATACGTTTGTTTTTTTTAAGATGTTTATAATTTTCTTTGAATTTTTACGAGTCAAAGCAAATGAATTTTTTGTGGAGTCTATCACTGGTCATCCATTTCTTATATTATTCACACTGATATGTCACAGTGACCATATCGTATCATGCCTTCATATTGCTTATGTCGATCCTCCCTATGTTGGTCGATGTCTTCATCTTTCGTTAACAGGGGTCGCGGGGATTCAGCAGAACTAAGTATTTTCTTGAGGTCGTGGATAATCTGCCTTTTGAAGCTATCCAACATGCCGAGAACAAACTTCACTACTATAAAAAAAATCCAATGTAAAAACGGAGTTGACGTGATAGAGTCCATCCATCCCTTTTACTGTCAATTTTGACTTTTGTCATGTTGGAAGTAGCAAATTCTTGTCACTTGTTTAGTTCCTATTCGTATTGTTTAATGGCATATTTTTTTGAATTTTGTTTATTCTGATTCAATAAAAACACTCATGTCGCCGAGTTTGAATTTTATCTAGTGTTATCTTAATTTGATTGACTTGTGCAGTGGTTACAATAAATGTTATAAGTTAAAATGTCCCGTAATAGAGGTGATGGATTGCTTGCAAAGGTCGATTTTCCTCTTTATACGCTCGAAACCCTTACAAATCGTCATGTCCTCGTAGCGGGAGGTGGCGGAGCATCAAATACGGGTGTGGCGAATGGATTTGTGAGTTCCTAAATTTATTTAAAAATAAAAACATAAGTAGTGTGATGCGTACAATATTACGTGTCAGGATAAAGTATCTCTCACATATACTTAATTATGTTATATTGGTGTACAGTTCTTAATTATCTCTTGCATTGTTTAGGAGATTTTCGAATTATCACACAATGGGACTAAATTCGTTGCCGAAGAGGTGATGCGCCATGAGACGGGCCCTAACGTAGTAATGAATTGCTCCATACGCAATGCTCAGGGGCGCACTTACCTTTGCGCTGGCCAAGAGAGCCACTGTCAGTTGTATAGGGTGAATGTCCGCATGGTAGATGCAGCTGAAATGCGCCGTGGCAGTTTTCGAGCAGAAAATGGATTGGTACGTCGCCGAAGACGCACTGTTTCAGAGAATGACAATATATCCAAAACTGACAACAACAGCAATACTTCAGAGAAGAGAATATCATTTGAAATAAGGCCTTGTGACAGTATACAGACAGATTTCGGGTAAACACTATGTTAATTAAAATAAATTATTTTTATGTGTTCAAATTATTGTTATAACATAACACATTAGATAAACAAGCATAAATAAGATATTTTTGTCATTGCTTTTCATGAAATTTATATGTCAAACTAATATGATGCTATCCATATTTACTCCAAAACGGAGTTAAGTTGTTAGAGTAAATTAAAATATAAGATTTAATATATTACTTTGCTAGATGTATACAGCAGTTTCGCTGTTCGGAAATCTGTTAGGCTCATCCAGGGAACCGTTGAACCATACCATTGCCTTACAGATGACCAACTGGAAGTTTATACTTTCACATCTGCTACATGCCTAACAAAAAAAAAACCACTATTTTACACAAAAATAACTTTCTTATGTATACATTTAATTTGTCACATTTAATACTATTACTCACTGTGGCTATTACAGACATAAATTTTGGATACTATTCTGTAATTTTTCGTAATCTGTTGAAGTATAATACCATATTAATACCTTTATTATTGTTAACCCTTAAAAATCATAATAACATACACAAAACTCATGCAACATTTAACTTGTATAACACTGTTATTAAAAGCTATCAAGAGAATATAGAATATTACAATTATTTCAATTCCCAAATAGTGTTACGATTCCATAATTGTTATAGATAACATATTTTAAATCTAAATTAAAAATCCCAATGTTCCAGAGACGACCCACTGCAAAGAGTAGTGAGGATCAGTCACAATGGCAAGATGATGGCGACTGGGGGAATAGATGGCAAGGTTCGGATATGGAGCTTTCCACAGATGCAACTGCTTATCCAATTGGAAGGACACACAAAAGAGGTTTGTTTTCTTTTCCCTAATAATCAAGGAACAATTATTCTAATATGCATTTGTTTGATTGTTGTTGTTGTTAATTAGATTATAATAAACAAGTTTGAAGCTTTAACCATAGGGGTGGTGCTATATTTGAATGATCTACTAATATTTATCATAGATCTTTTCAATTGGAAATTTGCCTTATATGCCTAATGTGCACCAACCTTTTTATGTTACTTTGAATTCATACACAAGAATCATCTTTTCTTTTTACTAACAACTTTTTACTAGCAAATAGATTTCCACTGGATCTTTAGCTATAATTATTTACTATATGTAGTATATAAATAATAAAGTAAAGTAACAGCCTATACATCCCATACATAGGGTATTGGACCATAGTCCACCACATGACCCCACTGCAGACTTCACATATCTAGCTTCGAAGCTATTTCGAAAATATGCAGGTTTTCTTATGATGTTTTCCTCCAGAGCCAACCTCGTGATAAGTCAGTACTTAAAATTAACAATTTCATTGGTGCTGGTACTGGGATTTTAACTTGAGTTGCTTGAGTATAATGAATAAAAATGACCGCCTGTACAATGGGCAACAAAAGAAAAATTGCAACCCTATGTGTGTTGCAAATGTCAATGTTAATTTGTATTAGTCATTTTAATATAATTCTTAATCGCTGTTGATGATTTGTTTGTTGTTTGTACCTATAATTGGAGTAGCACCAATCTTGTTTTGGTATCATTTTTTTTTTAACTTGTGATGGTGTCTATTCTGATGGTGCAACTAAATGGGCGGCGGTTTTTTTTATTTTTTATTTAAAAAGTTGCCAAACGAGCAGACGGTTCACCTGATGGTAAGTGAATACGGCCGCCCATGGACATCTGCCATACTTGAAGGTTACAGATGCGTTGACAGCCTTTTGAAAATTGGGCTCTTGTATCTTGTATTAACTGATGTTTTTGCTTTCAGTCCCGAGACTATTAAAGCTTCATCTGACGCAGAACCGGTGGGCTAGCCAGAACCCACGGGTTTGGGCCCTCTGATGTGGGTAGGGCCGCGCATGTGCTCATGCATGCGTTTAACTACGACATGTCATCTAAGGGCCATCGAAGTTGCGGTGCGGACCGAGACTCCGATGGCCGTCGACTGTGTTTTTAGCTAATCGGTGGCTGGGGGTGGTGAGAACCGCCCTGGAACGCGCGTGTACCTTGTGTACGCATTGTGTTGGTTTCGCCGTGCTCGGAGGCGAGGGCGAACTATTGTGTTTGTTGTTACACTAGCTGTGGGTGTAGTGTTATCCGGCGGGACCCCCGGCGGTGGGTCCGGCGTATCTAAGTCCCCTTCCTCGACCGGGTCGATGAGGACGTTTCGCGGGCGACGCTTGTTAACTTTCGCGTTTGTGTCGGGTTGGTAATTTGCTGCGCTTACCACCAGAGGGTTGGGATGATGTTCGGCTCTTCTGTTCGGCTCAAAATTGGGCTCTGGCTACCGACTCACCAGACGAAACGCGAAAGTATTTGTCATTCTTTACGCTGGTCTTCTGTGAGGTCGTGGTACTTACCCGGACGGGCCTGCCCATTCGTATAACAGCCGAGGCTGCTGCGTGGCCCTAACACCGAAGGTTAACACAACATCAGCTGAACCGTTAGCTCGATTGCCGCCTACTCACGTAAAAAAAAAGAAAACGAGCAAGCTGGTAACGCTCACGTCATCGCTCCAGCTCGACGACCTGGACTTCAGCCCGTGCGACAGTCAGCTGGTGAGCATCGCCAAGGACGGCCTGGCGCTGGTGTGGGGGCTGACGGGCACCGCCTCCCGCGAGCCCCTCCTCAAAATCACTTGCCAACCGCCCAACGGCACCAAGTACCTGTTCCGGAGGTGCAGGTGAGTTTGGCAACACGCGTACGGAACTTATAAGTCCTCTCGTCTCCTGACACCGAACATAGTGTGACCTTTAGATGACAAGGTTGACACCCGATCTACATTACTGACCTTGTTATTAGATAGGTTGATGTATTTATCACGTGAACGTTTGTGATTATCATACGAGTGAGGCTGGCGCCTTGGAATTAATTACGAATTAATTATGTGAAGCGGACAGGCAAAGGTGTTTTTGTTTCAGATATTGGTAATGCTTGATTATGTTATACCCAAATATGTCCTCAATCCAAATACAATATATTTTTAGAGTATAAAGTGTAGTTAACGATTTGGAGAGCTTTTAGGCATGTATACACTACTTTCAAACACATTACCCAGTTTTAAAAAGATAAATGTAAGTTAATAAAGCAGTCAAATTTCATTTTATGAGCTTCCTAAATGCATTTTTGGATATTAAAAATATTAATATTTTGGAACAAAATCATGGTTATACTTTTTAAACTTCAGTTTAGAATTTCACAAAGTTGGACATATTCAAATTTATTTAATGACTAACTGGCAGTTTAAAACTTTAACTACATTTCATACTGCAAAAAATTTTGTAACCGAGCTGAGAACATAATTATCTATCTAATATATAAAAATTCTCGTGTCACGGTGTTTGTAATTGAACTTCACCGAAACGGTTCGACCGATTTTCGTGAAATTTTGTGTGCATATCGGCCAGGGTGGAGAATCGGACAACTATTTTTCTTCCCTACAAATAATTTATATGGCAAAACAACGTTTGCCGGGTCAGCTAGTATAGGTATAATATAGCCAAATGTATAATCAGAGACATCAACATTTTTTACATGTCCGCTTCACGTGGAATGCCCCTATGAGCCTATGTGCAACAGGGGGCTAACCACAGTTGCCAATAGGCAAACATGATGTGTTGATTCGCTGAGATCATGTCCTTGAGCTTGTATCTCTAAAGTATCTAATTTGGTTAAGCGAAAATATAGTGTAGATCGTATGTACAGGGTAAAATACATACATACACACGATGTATACCGTATGTATGTATCGTGTAAGGATCGTATCGTGTCGTATTTCGTAGTACGAAAAATGGAAAAATAAGAAAACGTGTGACCTTATTGTGATTCATTACACGTCCCCATAAGGTAAGGCAGATAATCAGTTTCTTTTTATATTTTTATTTGACTTAGTTCTGATCAAACTTTACTACCTGGCCTATCATTTATCGATAAGCCAAACTTGTTTGTTCGTGTTTATAACTAAACATTCCAACAATTTTTTTCCCTATCGGTCTACAGAAAATAAATTGCATTCAGTACATAATATAGATAAAAAACAGATTTTTCTTGCAGACATTTTAGAACTAAAATCATAGATTTGCGTTCATTCCATAATCGTTTGCAAAAATCTAATATATAAAATTCTCGTGTCATGGTGTTTGTAATTGAACTACTCCGAAACGGCTCGACCGATTTTCGTGAAATTTTGTGTGCATCTCGGCCAGGGTGGAGAATCTGTCCGATTCTTCTCTTCTCATCTATTATTAACAATATCATATCAACAAATATTTTTTTCTACCCTTCAAATAATTTATATGGCAAAACGACGTTTGCCGGGTCAGCTAGTATAATATAAAATTAGCCAAAGAGTAATTTAGTTTAATTCTATGGAGGCGTTAGTCTCAAAAATCCTGTTATAATACTCATTTTTTCGGTAAGCAGGTACATTCCTTAGAGATTTCGCAATAATAAAAGAACATCAACAGGCCAGCTGTTGTTTTTCGGAGTCAATGTCAAATTGCGATTTTAAAATTAGTAATAATGTTTTTATCAGATTCATACTCAACAACAAGTTAAATCGGATACGAACTGTTTAATGAGAAACCTTTAATAAAAAAAACTAATGGTTTTGTGTTAAATTATCTTTAGTTGCTTGGCTCATATGCACATTATTTCAAAAAGTGGACGTTCTTCATAGAATCCGTCCTTTGGGTCTAAACCGGATCCTGCATTTACATTGGCTGATAACTCGATTAATATGCATCCGTGTTCGTTCCGTAGGGGGAGTATGGATTTGTAAAATTGACCCTAGAAAAACATTGCCCCGTGCTGTAGGATAAAACTACCCCGTGTACTAAAACGTTTTGCATACATAAATTTCAAAACCCGGATGCGAAACAATCGTCTATCGGCCACACAAATCGATGTCCCTCGCGGGAATGGAATCCACGACCCGGGCGCAAAAGCCAACTGCGCCGCGAAATCACTAAAAATTCCCATGAAAAGGTGATGCTTAAGTATAAAGCCTACCGCTGTGTGTGAGCTTGGCTGGAGAGGGCGGCGGAATTTCGCGGGGGGCGGGGTGGAGGGGATGTGAGGGTGGCGGAATTTCGCGGGGGGCGGGGAGGTCGCCGCCGCACCCCCTCGCCCCGGCCGCGGAATCATCCCAAATGGGGGGTTTGGGGGGCCAGGTTCGGCGAGAGCTCGGAGCGGATGTTCACGATCGCGAACCCGATGTCGCGCGCGGGCAGCGGCGCGGCGCGCGGGCTGCTGCAGCAGTGGGGCGGGGCGGAGGCGCGCAGGGGCGCCCTCCTGCCCGAGGCGCTCTCCGCGCTCGCCGTGCGCGACGACGGCCGCTTCGTCGCCGTCGGCACCATGTATAGCGGCTCCGTGCACCTCTACGTCGCATTCAGCCTCCAGGTGGGGCGCGTTCCGAGTTTTTTTTTTCGTGTCTGTGTTGTGTGGCAGCGCTTGAGCAGTGAGTCCCGACGACCACTGCTACCTAGAAGATCTATTGATTGTAGTCTTCCTGGTAATCGTCTTGTAGTGTACTAAGGACGTGTTGCATACAGGTGGGGGCGCGTTCGGAGATTTTTTTTCAAAGTTACACTTCTTTCGGCGCGTTCGGGAAGAATGATTACAATGCTAAAACGACACCGACTTCATGGTGTTACCATGGCAACCGATAACAACTTATTGTCATTTACCAAAAAATACTAGAACGCGGGATAATTTTTTAGTTATTTTGCTTCTGTCACATAAATGCATACAAACGTTTTTTTCTTTTCTTTATGTGAAAAGTAGTAAAGCGAGCAGGCGGTTCACCTGATGTTAAGTGATTACCGGCGCCCATAGACATGAGAGCTTGCAGATGCGTTGAAGTTTTATTCTTACTTTTACTGCCCTTTCGTGCAATGGGCACGGCGCAGACGTGTCACCGTAAGGGAATGTTCCGCAAGTTGGCTGTACATAAATATATATACACGTACACGTATCGATATAGTACCCAAAATTGAACACTGCTTTTACAAATAATAATCACCGAACCATCCCCCAGTAGCGATAGTTACAACGAAACTTGATCGCTCTCTGGAACGGTGACATAGTTGGCAATGGAGCCATCAAATGTATGTGAGTGTGTGTATGTGCGTGTTCGTGTGCGCAGCGCGTGCTGTACGTGAAGCGCGCGCACGGCATGTTCGTGACGGGGCTGGCGTTCCTGCCGGTGCGCGGCGCGGGCCCGCCCATCGCCAGCCGCAGCGAGGCCGCGCTGCTCTCCATCTCCGTGGACAACTGCCTCTACGTGCACAGCCTGCCATACCCGCGTGAGTAACGCCCGCCCCCCCCCCCCCCTCCCCTTCCGCCGCTGAACCCTTCTACTGCTACTCGCCTCCTACCTCCACAATACCCTCACCGTCTCCGTGGACAACTGCCCCTACGAGCACAGCCTGCCCTACCTGTGTGAGTAGCCCCGGCCGCCCCTTCGCCCCCTCATACCCCTCCTCTCTATCTCCGTAGACACTGCCTCTACGTGCACAGCCTACTTGCAGCGCGATACTTTCTTTCGAATTCGAATCCGACATAGAGTACCTTTTTTTCTTTTTGAACATAGGTGTCTAGGACTATATCCAATACATCCATATTTTCTCTTTCTTAGAGGTCGATATTGATATTTTTATAAATATCGATACATCGATATATTTCTTCACTTTCGACATCCCAACCCCAAAGCCTATACCTCCCCTACCCCCACTGTTGCTGCAACGACCATTTTGGTGATATTTTAAACTAATTATAATACTTCAATTCTTTAAAGATCTTCCTTCAAGTATCTTTAAAGATCTAAGCAAAATATCATTTCCACAATCGGATTCAAAAGAAATTCAATTCAATTTAATCATGTTTTCTATTTCAGGTACCGTACCTGTTTGGGTTGCCATCATTCTTATTGTTTTCGTATTATTCTGTACTTTTACTCTATGCTCATATTTAGGTATATAACGAAAATGTATTTATATTTAATTACAATCAATGGAAACGATCATTTATGTGTAATGTAATTCAGCGGAATTATTATTTCTGTGTAATTAATTTCTCTTGGGGTTTAGTTTAGTTTAATTACGGAAGGTCTAAAAGCACACGCTGACATGTGCTTCTATAAATAGAATCAACTGAATAAAATGGATATACAGTCTCTAGTTACATTTTTTATTTTAAACACCATTCCAACATGTTATCTTTGTATAAAGGTTATAGGACAGTCCCTTTCTTTATGGTGAATTTATTATGGTATTCATTCAAAGTTTTCATTACTGTGGCTTTTACAACAATGTGAATTCGTATTTAAAATCCGATGGTCCAAAGAGTTAGTTTACTATATACCCAGTCGTGGTGAATGAAGGTTTATGTTTTATCGAATATTCACTTTCATTATATGTATACACAGCGAAACTGTTGTTAAAAATTAAAAATGTATTATAAATAAATATTTAAATCGAGATATTTCGCTTTTTATTTCATTAAAGACTAGCTGTGCTCGCGACTTCGTCCGCGTGGAATTTAAAATAAATATAATTTACAAAATGAAAATAGCCTAAGTTAAAGCATTAAGTTAAAAAAAATGGGTGCGTGTGCTTATGTACGCGCTTGTAGTTATACTTCTTTGGCATCACTTATAGTTTTTAGTTGCATGCAAATAATAAAGACTGGAAAAGGATATAAATAATAAAATTATGAAAGCGCCATGTGCAGGTAGGTATTAACTGATGTTTTTGCTTTCAGTCCCGAGACTATTAAAGCTTCATCTTACGCAGAACCGGTGGGCTAGCCGGAACCCACGGGTTTGGGCCCTCCGCTGTGGGTAGGGCCACGCATGTGCTCATGCGTGAGTTTAACTATGGCGTGTCATCTAAGGGCCATCGAGGTCGCGTTTCGGCCCCGATGGCCGTCGACTGTGCAATTAGCAAAGCGCCATGTACATTCTTTATTGACAACTGTAACGGGCGAATGTGATTGAGAATATACTGCCATCTATAAAAAAATGCCGTTTAGCGGGAAACTTCAAAGGTGTTACTTTTGTGTTAGTGATGCGCGCGCATCTTAAAATTTCACTCTCATAACTTTTTCATAACGCGCCTAAAGAAGTTTAACTTCAAAAATAATTTTCATTTTACAAACAGACACCAATTTTATGTATCTGTAGAGACGAGAAGTTTTTTGAAGGCTGTATCAAAATCAAATCAAAATCAAATACCTTATTCAATATAGAAGCATTACACTTTCTTATCGATTGTCAAAACGCTACCACCGGTTCGGAAAGAAAAGCCACTGACCGGAGAAGGACCGGCGAAAGAAACTCAGCGGGACTTTTTTTTATACCATTGTTTATCATAAAGCGTGTCGTTACCATCGCGACAATAAATGAACACATATACAGGGGATACCTTTTTAAATTTGTATTAAACATTTAAATTCTTTAAACATCAATATTTACAGAGTTATTAAATTTTCCAAAACAAAGAATTTTAGAACATCCTTACCTATAAAAGCGTAACGTAAAGTTCATTTGTAAAGGTCAGAAATCATATGAATGGGTTGAATGAATTTAAAAGAGACAAAACATACTGTTAGAAGGAGAGGTTTGTAATACGACGCTGTGCGCGAGTTGTATAGGATGTTACAACTTTTGTTTGTTTTTTACTTAATTAGTTTGTTTGAAAAATATTTTTTTTTAATTATGGTTTTTGTTTAACGTTAATATTTTTTTAAGATTATTGGCAAGTAGCGATAGACGTGTGTTCATTTATTGTCGCGATGGTAACGACACGCTGTATAAAGAAATGTTTACAAATGCAAATTTAATTATATTGTTAGAAAACTTTTTATGGTTATCATTAATTTGTGAAGGTGCATCCTGCCTTCAGTGGGCTTTCAGAGGCGAGAATAGTGAAAGGTACGACCATGAGTATGACGCCCAAGTGAGTGATGCTGCAACCATGGTGAATTTTTTTTAATGTCAAAAGATGCCAAACGAGCAGACGTTTCAATTGATGTTAAGTACATTCCGACGCCCATGGACATCTGCTACACCCGAGGGTTGCAGATGTCCATGGGCCATGGGCGTTGACAACCTTTTGAAAATTGGGCTCTGGCCTATTTACAAGGTCACTAATATCCAAATAATAATCAATGTGAAGCAACAAACAGATAAACGTCGACTTAAGAAGTTGTAAATGAAATTTTATTAATAACTAGCTGTGCCCGCGACTTCGTCCGCGTGGAATTTTAAATAAAAAAAATCTAAAATAAAAATAAAAAAGCCTAGTTACTTCTTATTACGTCAGCTATCTGCTAGTGAAAGTCCCGTCCAAATCGGTCCAGCCGTTTCAGAGATTAGCCGGAACAAACAAACACAGACAGACAGACAAAAATTGTAAAAAATGTAATTTTGGTATATGGACCGTGTATACATCCGTATTCATTTAGTAAAAAGCGGTTATTTTAATATTACACACAGACACTCCAATTTTATTTATCTGTATGTATAGATAATAAAAAAAAACATATCTTTTCTCTATTTTGTAGGGATGGAAACAATGTTGGGTTGGGTTTTGAATAGAGTCGCCCGAATTTAAGTACACTGTAAGTTTAGGGGGGTTCAGGAGGTTCCATACACTAATGCATTTCTTTGTGCCGGAGACGCGTAAAAAATTTAATTAGTTATTTTTTTAAATTTAAAAATCTTGCGAAACGTTAAATGGAACGCAATTTTGATAAATTTCAGTGTTTTCGAAGATGCCAATAATAAAAAAAATTTTAACGATAGAGAAAAATCACTAGTGAATTAATCAACAAGCAGAAGTCTCCGGTCGCATTCAGTTTACGAGAAAAAAATATTTAAATCTTGTTGTTTTCACTAAGAAAGTACGCACATTTTATTAAAACTGCATACACAGACTTCATACTCGTACCATTTGTTCGATCAATTTTTTTTAATTAAATGAGTTGTTGCCGACACAGAGCAATCCGACTCGGACAGATTAGGTTAGAAGGTTCAGGTAACCTTCGTGATTATTTTTATATTATTTATATTTAACCACCCAATAGCCCTTCTTTTATGTGTGGTTATCAACAGGTAGGAGGGAAAGCCCCATTCTTATTAGATTTCTTTACATTCTTATTAGATTCTATTAAATAAATAAAATTAAAAATTGTATTATAAAAAAAGCCGCCCTTCTCCTACCCACCCCCGGACCCCCTACGATGGCGACTAATAATTTAATATATTTTTTTTATAAAATAAAAATTTTACACATTTTAATACTTGAAAATATTTACAATTTTTGTGATCGATTTCGATCATCGTTATGACGTGTCTCTGTACTGGCATGTTGGTAGTATTTAATTTTTTTTCCATAAAAACTTGATAAAAATGGCGGATTTCTTTTTATTAAATGGCGGATATCCTTCGTGTCAGTTTTAATTATTTTGTATAATTAGCAATAATTCGCGTTTCTGTAAATTTTTCAATTATAGCTTCAATTAGATTTTTTTTTAGTTTTACTTATCGTGATACCGGCCTCCATCGTTCAAATATTTCTAAGAGTAAGTAGTTTTTTAGATATTCAATTTCATAGACATGTATAAAAAGGAATTAATTTCTTTTTAGTAGTAGCTCTGTAGTAGTAATGCATATTGTATGGCAGTTTCTATATTTAATAGACTAAAGCACAGCACATTATATCTAAGGGGGAAAAATTTCAAAAAGGAATTATATACCTGGCTTATTTCAAAAATGTATTATAATATAAATGATTACATTAATGAAAAATAAAAATAATATGTTTTATAAAAATTTAATTTTGGTATTGTAGTAGTATCTGCGAGTTTATTTCTATATAATTGTAATATTACCTAATGGTAGTACCTACTAGCTATAAGGTTTGCACGCCCTTAAGCAGAATATGTGAAACTCTATATGAAAATCTTATTGTAAACCATATCTTTGCAAATGAAGAATATTTATTTATTAGGTTATTTTAGCATTTAAAATTTAACTACGTATGTACCTATGCGTATTTGTTGTTTTGAGCATGGTTTAATGTAACAATGTAAGTAGGTAGGTATACCTTAGCGGCGCTAAGTTAGCGCTTACTTGTCCTTTTAAGTTTTCTATTGTAGGTACTCGTATGTTATTATTTTTATTAATGTTGTGTTTTTGAATAGTCCTTGAAGACAAGATCACATAAAAAGTATATTTGATACTGCAAAATATTTTTAATTATTCTAGACTATCAAATAGTCTTGTTTTTTGATAGTGCTAAAGATCTCTTTTTCATAATCTTTCCAGAGCCTTGACCTCACTTCTCATAGCCTGGATTCGATATACGGTAACAGGCAAGTTTATATTTTGTGTATTGTGTATAAGTAGTACCTAAATATGTTTATATTATTACCCAGTTCATATGATTCGTCTTTTCAATCGAAATTGAAGACCAATAATTAGGTTGTCCAATGTCAAACAGGATGTACCCTCATCGATAGCATTTTTAATGGTTTTCTAAGGACGCGGGCAAGGTGCCACGACTACAGATCTTTTGTGTTGCGTCGAGATTTGACCTTGACCTTGCGGTTATTACCATAAATATTTACATTGATTGATTGTTTTGGGTTTTTCGAAAAAATCATTGATTATTTTGTATTTTAAAACTAAATATGTTGATAAAACAAAAAACTTAACTTACGTTGCAATAAAAGATATGAAATTGTATTTTATTAATTAGAAATAATTTAATTGATAAAATTTTAAAAACAGGCACGTGACTTCAAGCGCTCTGATTGGTCGTCTTAATGTGACGTCATAACGTTAAAATGATTACAATAATACACGGTCAATGTTTTCCACATATAGATTGATAAAATATATATTGATATAAATGCATCAGCCAGCTTTGTACTGTATTGACCTCCGAAGGGGCACATATATCATTAGAAACTGA